TCACGAGCACACTGTGCAGTGAATTCAGGGTCCAGGGCAATTGCCTTGCCACGTTCTGTTCTGAGGACGGATGCAGAAACGCAGGAGTAGATGTAGGTCTGGGCTCTGTGTGGTGGACCACATAGGACACAGTGGTGGGCTGGGCTGGTGGAGGCCCCCGCCTTGCATCCCAGCACTAGGGAAGCAGAGGCAGGCAGGTCTCTGTGAGCTTGAGACCAGCCTGGTCTACTAGGTGAGTTCCAGGACAGCTGGGGCTACATAATGAGACCCTGTCGGAAAAAAGAAATGAGTGGGGTGGGGGGCAATGGCCTGGGCCAGGACTGGACTTGGTTCTAGGTCTCTCTAGGAGGAAGCAGGGCCTGCTTCGTCTTAGATATGGTTCTTGGGCCACTATCAGGAAAAGAAGGGGCCGTGGATATGATGGAGACCAGGGGTGAGTCTCTCGGTGAAGACTCGGAGGTGTCCACGAACGAAGAAGGGGGAGCTCCGTGTGAAGACCACATTTGGTTTCCTTGTCACACAGAAGGTCACTGGGACCTTGAGGGACGATAAATCGCACTAAAATTTAGGTGATGGGAAGAGGGAAAGAAATGCACGCGGTCCTAGATGAACTGTCCTAAGAGGTGGAGACAAAATTAGTGTTAAAAATCTTCCACATTGCATGCTTATGAAAACACATGTCTCTGAGTTCAAGGCCAGCCTGGTCTACAGAGAGAGAGAGTTCTAGGAAAGCCAGGGCTACACAGAAGAACCCTGACTCCAAAACCAAAACCAAAACCACAGCAGTAAAAAATAAATAAATAAATAAATAAATAAAGACAGAAAGAGGTCTGAGAGGACCCAAGAAGTGGCTAGTGATCAAAGTGGTTACTTTGTTTTTTTTGGATCAGGGCGATGAGATGGTGAAATGTGAAGCCCATCTCTGGGTGAGTCTGGAGGGCGTTTCTAGAGCTCAGCCACTAATGGATTCAAGGTTTGAATTGCCTGTCAGGGGGTAGTGGTCCTGCAGAAGGCAGGGTCTGTTTGGAGGATGTGGGGCAACATCCTTGGTACTACCTGGCCCCTGACTCCTTCCTGTTATGGCTCAACTCTTTCCTGTTTGCCAGTAGACCTCAGTCTTCCCAAGGCTGCCACCCTTTAATAATGCTATGGTGACCCCCAAAACATGTAATTATTTTGTTGCTACTTCATAATTGTATTTTTGCTACTGTTATGAGCTACCATGTGATTGCTGGGAATTGAACTCACGACCTCGGGAAGGTCAGTCAGATGTTCTTAACCTCTGAGCCATCTTTCCAGCTCCACTTAGGTAGCTTCTAAAAACCACATATTCTTATGAATCCCTTGGGTATCTCGTACATGCATATGATGTGCTCTGAGCAGTCATTCCCAGTCCTCAGTGCCTCCCAGATCTCCCCCTCCCTCTTCTGCTTTCCTTTTTAAAGACCCCTCCCCCTCCCAGTCCAGTTCCTGGTTTCTGCTTATGCACAGGTGTTGACCATGGTCAACACACCAGGGACCACACCCGTAAAGAAAACAGACTCCTCCCCTAGCAGACATCAGCTGCCCTTGGCTCATCAGCCAAGGGCTGGGCTAGCTCCCCTCATCCTCCAAGCTGCAAGTGACTAGCTTGTGTTGTTGTTTTACTCTTTTTCCTCTTTGGGGGGCTCACACCCAGCTCCCAAATAAATCCCACACCGAGCCTTACTCTTTATTGTAAATGCCCGGCCTTAGCTTGGCTTGTTTCTAGCCAGCTTTTCCTTAACTTAACTTAAATGATCCCATCTGCCTTTTGCCTCTGGGATTTTTCTGTTTCTTATTTCTGTATATCTTACTGTCGCTCTGACTCCACGGCTGGCTGTTGAGCTGGGGAACTGGCCCCTGGCGTCCACCTCTCCTTCTCTTGCTCCTCTTTCTCCTATTCATTCTCCACCTGCCAGCCCCGCCTGTCCTTTCTCCTGCCTCGCTATTGGCCGTTCAGCTCTTTATTAGACCATCAGGAGTTTTAGACAGGCAAAGGATCACAGCCTCACAGAGTCAACCAACGCAACAGAGAACACGTGTTCCACAGCATAAACAGACGCAGCACACTGTAAATGATGTTCTGCAACAGGCTTGATTTTGTTCAGGTCTTGCCCAGGCGGCCACTGCTTCTGCTTCTGTGATTTCACAAGAGCATTGGTCCTGTCACGACCAAAAGATGCTCTTCTCTGACCTCTGTCTCCGTTTCTTTGATGGCTCCTGGACCGTGTCGAGGAACTTATGCCACACACACTTATTCTCAGTCCTTTAGCCACCGGGGAATTTGTGCATAACCACTTCATAACGTAAATTCTCTGGCAAGGTCTGGGTACAGAGATATGAATTTATTTATCCTTTTTGTACTTTTTCATCTGCGTAGGCCCTGTCTTTCTGAGATCTGAATTTAGAGTTTGTTAGGAATATCATACTAGGTTCACCCTTGAGACCTCTGAGATCCCCAGTTATGGATTCTGGGCTAGGTTTACAGTTTACTGGGCATGTGTTTTCTCCCATGGAACAGACCTTAAATGCAACCAAGAAGCACACCCCTATCACACTCAATCCACCATCACACCCATGAGCATATCGTGCTAGGTGGTCGTTACTGGACCTTGCAGGCTATACAGGTGTGTAAGATTTCTAATGACTTACCCTCAGCAGCTGGCATTGCACCTTCCTGTACTATGAAAGCTAGCCACCAAGGGGAGCTTCATGATGTTGACTTTCCCAAGTCCTGTGACCAAAATAGAACTTTTTTTTTTTTTTTTAACATAGGCCCTCAGTACGTACCCCTATATGGTCTGGAATTCACTCTATAGACCAGGTTGTCTGAAAACTCACAGGTTTTTGCCTGTGCATCCTGGGTGCTGAGATTAAGGGAGTGTACCATCACACCCAGCAAGCAATGATGTCTTGCTGAGTTCTGGTGAAGCATGAAGAGCAATGGCAATAGCCTACATTGTTTGGAGGTCTCCAGGGTGCCCCCGACTGACAACTGGATGGGCATTATCCTAGGCAACGTATACCTTCTGTGAAGAGGGTTATTCCCCATGTAGGATAATGCTAGTTTAAAAACTTTATGTGGATGTATATGAGCATATGAAACAGCAGGCATCTATACAGCTTTTCAGACATCCTTAGTGTCAGCTAGCCCTCCCCCCATCCCTCATCTGGTCTATCCTCAGCACCTAGTGGTTTTTTTTTTTTAAATTATTTTTATGCCATGTGCATTTGCGTTTTGCCTGCATATATGTAAAGGTGTCAGATCCCCTGGAACTGGAGTTACAGGCAGTTATGAGCTGCCATGTGGGTGCTGGGAATTGAACCCTGGCCCTCTGGAAGAGCAGCCAGTGCTTTTAACTGCTGAGCCATCGCTCCAGCCCAGCACCTAGTTCTTAAGTCATACCTTATTACCACATCTTAGAAGCACTTAGTCAACACAGACTAAGACTAAACATCCACCGTGTTTCTAGTGACATAATTTATTCACACCAAAAGTGCTCAGGTCTCTGTCCACCTTGACCAAATGCCTGAGGGCCAAGCGACATCAATCATTTCACCACTAAGACTTTGGATGGCGGTTGAAAGTTTTAAAAGGGACAAGGATTCAGTCAAGCTCGAGCTTGACTGCAAAAGCACCTCCTGGGCAGGTTCTGCAGTCCCAGAGATCGAGGCCAGAGAAGTGGAGCTCCCAGGCAAGGGCAGGAAAGTTTTATAGGTTGTAGGTGAGGGGCGATGATGTGTCCATCACAAGCTGGGTTTGTGTCCAAGTATGGTCAAAAGCTGAGGGAGACGAGGGGGACTCGTGGTCACAGGGGAGGAAGTTTCAGCAGCTGAAAAAAAATGCCGAGCTGGGCTTTGGCTCCTTTCCTCTGTTCAGAGATTCTCTGAGCTGGAGGGGTGTGGAAAGACAGACAGACAGACAGGCAGGCAGGAATAGGGCTTCCCAAACTGTGCAGGGGCCCCCTGTAGACTCTAGCTGAACTGTAATATTCCTGCCTCAGACTCCTGAGTCCTGGAGTCACAGGTGTGAGCCATCACCTGAACTTGAGTTAGTTTAGCTCAGACTATATTTGTTTAGGCTTCTGTCACCTGTACCCTAAAGGAACCCAGGGTGGATGTGTTTAGTTCTCAGCCAGACAATCTAGAATCAACCGAAAGGCAAGCCACTGGGCACTCTCGTGAGGGACTGTTATTATTACTGATCAGGTCATTTGAATATGGAAGACCCACCCAAAATGTGGTAGCCCAGATAGAGGGGCATGGAAGGAGGGACTTGATTTTAGCATTCTTGCCCTGTCTCTCAATGGGAAATCCATCTTTTTGCAGTGACTTTGGTTTGTTTGTTTGTTTTTGACACAGGGTTTCTCTGTATAACAGCCCTGGCTGTCTTGGAACTGACTCTGTAGACCAGGCTGGCCTCGAACTCAGAGATCTGTCTGCCTCTGCCTCGTCTCTTGCTGTGCGTGGCTCTGTTCTGTGGGGGAATGGTTTTCTGTCTGTATCTAAGCAAGGGTGGATCTGTTCTTGACTGTTTAGCTTCTTTCAATCCTGACTACTGTACTGGAAGCTACTGTACCGGGCCCTACTTTCCAAGATTGAAATACGTGCCAGGCTAAGGACAGCCAGTGGATGGGATCTACCCTCATCACTTTTGGTCCTAGTGGGTCTAGACAGAGGGAGACCATGTCTACCCACCAGTATGGGGTTTGTAAAGGTCACTTGGGAGCATCCTTAGAGAATGACTTCCTTAGAGAAGTCCACCTCAAACTACATGGACTCTAAAATGGCATCAGATAGCCAGGTGTTGGTGATGAACGCTTTTTAATCCCAGCACTCAGGAGGCAGAGGCAGGTGGATCTCTGTGAGTTCGAGACCAGCCTGGTCTACAGAGTTGAGTTCCAAAGCCACAGAGAAACCCTGTCTCAAAAAAAAGAAAAGAAAGAAAGAAAGAAAGAAAAAATATTGAACGATTCAGCGCCGTTCTTTAGTTCATTTATTTATTCAGCAGGCACATGTCAAACATTTACACTGGATTGGTACCATTCCAGACCACAAGGGTCAAGGTATAAGGCATTCAAGAAAAATCAAGTCTCATTGTTCTAGATAGAGCTAACAAAACATGATTAACACCCCACCTCCTCTCCCAAGGCTACTATGGACAAAGAGAGAGAGTCCAAGCACACAATGACCTGGCCAGCTGCATGGAGATGACCTGGCCAGCTGCATGGAGATGACCTGGCCAGCTGCATGGAGATGACCTGGCCAGCTGCATGGAGATGACCTGGCCAGCTGCATGGAGATGACCTGGCCAGCTGCAAGGGCTATACAGCAGTTGCTTGCAAACTTGAGCATGCATCAGAACAACTTGGAGGGCTTGTCCTGGCACTGACTGTCGCCTCGCTGGGCTATGTGATTCCAGTTAGTTTTCTTTTTTGAGAGGTCCCTGGAGTAACGGTGAGTTTGTCAGTCTGAGGTCTGCACTTTGAGATCCAGTACCTTACAAGTCCGAGTCTGGAAGCGTGAAAGCACGGGTCAAGGGGTAAGGATAGCTGACTCAAAGTGATGGGGGCGTGTGACTCGGCATTCGGTGCGAGTTTTGGGTGGGGATGCAGAAGGAAGTAGGGCTCGGCTTGATTAGACTGGCTATTAAGCAAAAAAGCTCGGACTTCATTCTGTATGTATGTGTGGGGAAACACAGGGTTTTAAGCAAGAGAAGGAGATGTTGATATTTAGGCTACAGAGTGAAAGTGAACGCAGTGTCTGGGTAAAGGGATGAGGCAGGAAGGCGTTAAGTGTTGACACCATGCACTAGGCAGACTACAACTAGGTCAACCTGATGACCTGGATGGTGTCACAGTCTTTTATCTGTAGCTTTGCAAGGCTGCAACTGTTTTTCAGCTTCTTATTCCCCGACATCAGCATCTGATTCTCCCTGTAAGGTCCTCCAGCATCTTCAATCTTCTCCTTCAGTTTGTAGATGGTAGCGTCAGGGTGGATGGCGTAAGGCTTGCTCTGGCCACTGGAGTCCTTCACAAAGACTTGGATCTCAGGAAAAAAGGTCTCCAGCACCTGGACAGTCACCTTAGAGAATATCCCATAATCCGATAGCGTCTTGTGGCTGCTGAGCAGCTGCCTGTCCCCCTGTGGATCCTGGAAGGAGATGCGTAGCTCCCCGAAGGTGCCATTTGTACTTTTGATCTGTGCCTTCATCTCCCTGATGGGACTATAGGGGTCTACCCAGAGCCTCCAGGGTTCTCTCCCTGTTTGTTTCACGGTCACATGGACGTCCCTTGCTGCCTACAAGAGAGGTAAGACAGAAAAAGGGCATCTGTGTGGAAAGAACAGTCTATTGTCGACAGAGTTTCTCCCTTCTAGATCCTGGTAGGATTTACCACCTACTGAGACAAACTGGGGGATGCTGAGTAAATACAATACATAAGGCATCAGGAGAGCTGCTTGGCTGCCCTTGGCTTCCCTTGGCTTAGGGTGCCACACTGTGTCCCTCCATTTACCCAAAGCACAGCAACAACTGGACTCTAACTGATACACTTCCTGTGTGGAACAATGCAGAATCTCCACCCACCGTGGGCACACTCCAGCGTAGTGACTATGGAAGCCTGGGGAATGGCTAGCCGTCTATAGGTGAGATTCAGGCTACCGTACCTAACTGTGTTGCCTGCCCTGGCACTTACAGGTGCTGGGGGAAGAGCTGCTATGAGATCTGAATATGAGACTACACTGTACCGGTACATTCCAGCCCCCTCTGGGGTCTCCAGTCCAGCAACAGCTCTGCTGCAGGCAGTAGGAAGCTTCTCTGGCCACCAGGTCCCATCCGTCTCTACTCCCTAAGTTGTTGGTGGGGTCAGCTGGGTCTAGGATGATGGGCCTGGGGAGAGAATGTTATGGTCAGGATGCTGGCCTCGCCTCTGGCACTCATGTCTGTGGAATCGTAAAGCACGTTATAACGGTAAATTGCTGTGTGACGTTTAAGCTCACTAGAAGCTGGCTCTGGAGCCACAGCCCCCACTAAACGTGCAACTCAAAGTGTTCTTCCAAGACTCTTTCTTTGTCCTGGGCCCTGCAGTCCCTCCCACCTGCCGCCCTGTAAGGGGGAAGGGGAACCATGGGAACTGGACCTTGAGAACGGCTGGACCCAGGGGCTACTGTTGTTAACCCCATGCTAGAGTGGGGGGAAACGCTGGAAGCCCAGCTGTGGCTCACACATGGAAAGCTCATCTGCAGGGAACCCGACACCCCCTCCATTTCCCTGGCTGACATCTGCAGGGCGTCCTAAGTGGTTTGATGCTGTTGCTTTCGTTTGCTCTCCCACTCAGGCTACTCCCGTCGTCTCTACTGGATCTGTGAGCATCCGCTGTGATGATATTCTCCTCTCTATCATCTACTTGCTATTTTTTTTCCTTTTACTTCTGATCTCTATATACTTCTTTTCATTTTTGTTTTTGAGAAAGGGTTTCTCCATGTTGCTTTGGAACCTGTCCTGGAACTCACTCTGTAGAACAGGCAGGCTTTAAACTCACAGCGATCCACCTATCTCTGCCTCTCAAGTGCTGGGATTAAAGGCGTGCGCCACCAACGCCCAACTATGTACTTCTTATTAACTCACTCATTTGAAACCATGGCCAACAGAGAATATTCTTCAGGATTCTGGAGCAGGGCTTTATGCACCTTTGGGTAGAAGCGAAGCCTCAAATAAAGCCCTTGATTAGGAATGGAGCCTAAGGAAGCTCGTGAGACTGCATCTCTGAATCTTGCCTGACATACCCTTTCTTGTACTGGAAAGTAGGTGTGTACTAGAGGAGGCTAGAACCACTACAACCTCAAAGGGATAAACCTGAACTTAGAGTAAAGCCCAGGGGCGGGCGGGGTTGACCAGCTCACACGGAAAGAGACCTTGGTCACACTTGAATGCTTTCAATTGCAAAAGTCCCTTGAGTCTCTTATTCTTCCAAGCTGCTAGCTGCTTCACTCAGGGATTCCATCCCTTAAAGTCTTACGTAATGGGGTTAATGAACTCACCGGCTTCCCTTCAGCTGTTGTTTGAGGAAGTTTCTGACGACTTCATTTTGGAAATTGTAGTACTTGGTCCAGAATACGCAGATGTCTTGGTAGTCTCTGAGGAGTTCCATCAAGGCTACAAACCCTTTGTCCAAACTGAAGTTGTTGTTGCTCTCTGTACCCATTTCCCAGGCATAGATGGTCAGTAGCTCCAGAGAATATTTTGGGGGCAATGCTGCTCTTCTATACTTGCTTCTCAGGTACTGGAGAGAGGGGAGGGGTATAAACAGAAGGAAGGGTGGGGGAGGGAAGGAGCAAGCCAGCAAGTGAGCGAGAGAGGGAGGGAGGGAGAGGGAGGGAGGGAGGGAAGGGGAAGGAGGGGGGAGGGAGGGAGGGGGAGGGAGGGAGGGAGGGAGGGAAGGAGGGAGAGAAAGAGAATATGTTTTTGATGCTTTAAGAATTTTCGGGTCCCTCTGTTGTTTTATGTGACAGAGTCATGAAGCGGTGGGACCTGGGTGGACTTTTGGTCTGGAGTCTCCTGTGGACCGTCTGTGTGTATCAATCCACGTTTTTTCAGTTAGAACGGAGAAGGCAATGTGATACAGCAAATGCAGGAAGTAACTGGAAAAATCTGGAACGTACAGACAGCTCAAAATGGAATAAGATGAATGAAAGGAAAGAATCTCATCAAGTGTTTAATTTCTCCTAAAATAATTAAGACATTTACGGCAGTTTTTTAATTGATTTTATTCATTTGTACATCCTTGGGGAATTCCATACCTGTACACGATGTATTTTGATCATATCCATCTTCACCGCCCGCACCTTCTCACCCCTCCAATATCTTCCTCCTCATCCTCTTCTTCTTTTTTTTTTAGTAACCCATGGCGTCCATCTGGAGCTGCCTTATGTCCGTGGATGTGGGGTCATCCAGCAGCCGGACCTCTGAGGAGAAAACTGACCGTCCCTCTCCCAGCTGCCATCGACAGCCAGCGGCTGTCTGCTCTCTCCCGTTGACGCTGGGATGCTGACTGGCATCTTGCTCTGGTATCAGGCAGAGGGCTAACACCGCGGTGAGCGCCCAAGCACAGGGAGTCTGTCTGTCCTGTCCAGAGGACACTATTTCACAGTCACCCCTGCGACCTCCGGCTCAGGCTCCTCCTGTCTCCTCATGCACAGGGTTTCTTTAGCCTTGTACACAGGATGACACGGATGTCCCGCGTGGGGCTGGCTACTCCACCTGTCACTTGTTCTCTGTGAGTCCGTGATAGCCACTGTGTCCTGGGGGGGGGTGGGGGCAGAGGGGGAGGAAGGAACCCTGACTGATGAGAGCAGAGAGCTGCACTAATCCGTGGATTTAATGGCATGTGTTTAGAAGACAATCTGATACCACGTCCATTGAGTAAGACAGCAGTAGTCTCTATTTAAAATCCAGGACTTTTATTTTCCAGACAGGGTCCTTCTGTGTAGCCCAGGCTAGCCCGAAGCTTGCAATTCTTCTGCCTCGGTCTCCTACCTGTTGGGGCTGCAGGTATGCACAGCCTGCCTGGCTGCCATGGATTTCTGTCAATTATGTGTAAATGTGTGTCTGTGATCAGGTGTGTGCACTTGATGCAGTGCCTTTGGAGGCCAGAAGGGGGCATTGGATCCCCTGTAGCTGGAGTTTGGTAGTTGTGAGCTATACATGCTCTTAAGTGCTGCACCATCTCTCCAGCCCATTACATTCTCAAAGCTGGCCTCGGGAGGGCCAGTAGGGGAGTGGTGTGTGTATCCATGAAAACATGTCTGTCACATTTAGGAAAAACGGCAAATACCTCCAGCTCATGAGGTCTTACAGCTGACGAGGAAATAACAAAGTAAAGTGTGCAAATGACATAACAGGACAATGCTGTCACATTCGATGCCAAAGGTCAACAGCGGGTGTGTTTGTTTAAAGGGTGGGCCAAAACCCACAGTGGCACGGCAAGATTCCAGGTGCCCAATTGCCTGAGCGTGAGCTGTGTGGACACAGACAGAAGCGAAACATGAAAATCCAGCCACACCATTGTTGCCGGCTCACCCTGGGACCGACCACTTGTGAAGTTCACTTTCTTCCTTTTGCATTTGTCCACATTTTTTTCTTTATGATGAGACCTTCGCAATAGTCACATAACCAGAAAGAAACACTGTTATAAAGGACAGTCCCTGTCGCCACTCAAGGGCACAGATTCTGGAGTCAAGCACTGCCTCGGCTCTGCCTTCAACCTTTCAGCTCCGGGTTCTCATCTCCAAAAGGAGGGTGGTGCTGCAGCCGCTAGGAATCAGCCAGGAAGACCGAACAGGGAAATCATGTGGCACGCACAGCCTGGGTCAGGGGCACAGGACTTCCTACTGGTATCTTTATGTTTGCTATTGCTCTTATCAAAATGCGGCATGCCTGCTCGTCCTCAGCAGTCAGCGCTCGGTTGCCCTTGGGGAAGCTGTCACGGGAAGCAGGAGTCGCTAAGCAGGACACAGACACTGTGAGCACAGTGATGCCTGGCTCTGACACTGTCCATGTCCAGTGCACTGTGGGTCATGAGTAGACTCCGTCTGCCCGGTTTCACTCTGTAGTCTGCCTCTCATGGCTTTTCTCCTCCCCCACAACATCGCTCTTGGTGCTGAGGACAAACCCAGGTCCTTATGCATCCCAAGCAAGCTTCCTGGCAACGAGCTACCTCCCCAGCCCTGACCGGCTGTGCCCACCCCTCTCTCTCTTCTCCCAGCCCTCACCTGCTTGTACCAGAACTTCACCAGTCGGAGGAGGTTCTTCAGTTTAACTGGGCGGCTTTTTACAAAATGTCTCTGCAACTCTGTGAAGCTCGGCGAGAACTCCCCGGGGTTGCCCTTAGTCAGTATCAGATCTTCGTAGATTTCTGGGTCTGGTTTCGAGTCTCGGGAAAAGGATCCTGGGAGGAGAAAGTTATCTGGTCAGGAAACTCTAACTTCTGAGATGGGGAAGCTAGAAAAACTTCCCTCTCTCCCTCCCCTCCCTCCCCTCCATTACCCCTCCCTCCCTCCCTTCATCTCCTTTCATCCCTCCCCCCTTCCCTCCCCTTCCCCTCCCTCCTGTCCTCTCTTGACTGGGTCTCTGTGGATTCCAGGCTGCTATCAGGCTTATGATCCTCCTGCCTCTGCTCCCTGGGTACAGGGGTCTGGAATCCTCACATCAGCTCCATAAAGGAGGTAAATTCAAAGGCAACCATGGGAAATTGCCACTTTTATAACTCAAATGTGGGCAAGTATTGTCAGTTCCCATGACTCTCCTCAACGTTATCATGAGCACCGAGTTAGTGGGCTCAGCCTGGTAGCGCTAAGTTGTGGGCCCAAGGTAATACAAGTTATAAAATGTGAAGATGCAAGAGCCTTGTTTCACAGATGACTCCAATCCAGTTCTGGTTGACTCTAAAGGCCTTGGGATGGTTGTTTGACCGGGTGTTTTCCAGAGGGTGGGTAGGAATTCATTTCGATGAATTTGAATTTGTTCCCCATGCAACACTGGGACATGGGGACCCAGGCATTTATGGAGGGGGACACATCTTCACAGTATGTTCCTGTAGGGGCCAGCATGGACCCCCCCCCAGGCACCTTGAGCAAGCCTGAAGCCCTTGTCTGGAACATCCTGCCCCCTGGAGTTGTTCCTGTACTCTTCCTGCTTTGCTAACACACATCTGCTGTGCAGGAGCTAAGCCTGAAAACTTGGACCCTTGACCCTGCTGTTTTCTGTTGTGCTGTGAGTCAGGGTATAAGCCCGCTCCTTCCTCTCAGTAAACGGCATTCGGCATTCCTGTTCATTGAATGACTTGCTGGTTTGTCTCTTATTTCAATCTCTAGGCCTTCGCCTGATTAGTATAGCAGATTGTAGTGCAGGCACTACATGTCCCTAGGCTCACCTCCCCGCTAAAGAGCAAACTCCAGTGGTCTCTACTTTCTGTAGCTTCGCCCAGAAAGAGGAGACCCTAGAACCATTTCTCTGAGGCTGACCCAATACTGGATTTACCCAAAGCATCGTAAGCCGGCAGGACATCCATCCAAATAACGTCGTCATTCTTCCTGGGCTGGATCTCTAAGGTCAGGGAGCGAGGGGTCCTGTTCCCTGCTCTGTGGTGAACCACAGTGATATTGTAGGCCAGGCTTTTCCTGCAGTGAAGCAGCTTTGCTTCAATGAACTTGATGATGAATTCTCTGTATGTCGCCTGATGTCTGAAACTGGAGAAGCAGCTCAGGAACAGAGTCATGTCCTGGTCAGATCTGTGGTTCAACGTTGTCCCCTTTCCTGAGGAGCCCCCCTGTGGAGGGGACAGCACTAAAGTGACCTATCCTGAGATTTGGTGCTTTTAGGTTGAGAGGTAAGTCCAAGGCATCGGCAGTAAGCTCCCTATAAAACCCTTAAAAGGAGCAGTTGGGCTGGAGGCGGTGGCTCATGCCTTTGATCCCAGCGCTCAGGAGGCAGAGGCCTGTGGATGTACATGAGTTTAAGGCCACCCAGGTCTACAGAATAAGTTCCAGGACAGGCAAAGTTAAGCAGAGAAACCCTGTCTTGAAAAACCACACACAAAAGAGAAGCCATCAGTCCCCATCATGAAAGGGACCTTGCTGTGGGCAGTGTAGGCTCAGCATCCCTAGTCTCAAATTGAGAAATCCAAATGTTCTGAAACCTTAAACTTAGAAAAAAAAAAAGAAAAGAAAGAAAGAAAAACAAACACTCCTCGTATGTGTGGGTTTTTGCCTGTGTGTATGTTTGTGCATCACATGTGTGCTATTGTCCCCAGAGGCCAGAGAGGGGTGTGGGTCCTCTGGAACTAGAGTTACAGGTGGGTGTGAGCCACAATAGTAGGGTAACAACATATCAACCTCAGAGCTACATCCTCAACCCCAAACCAATTGCTGTTTGAAAAATGGTATGCCATAATGAAACACAGTGCTGTGTTTCAAAACAAACAAGATGAGAGGCCGTGAGTCTCAGCATCTCCTTCTCCCTCTAGACAGTGCCTCACCAGGTGGCCAAGACTAGCCTGGAACTTGCTACACAGCCCAGACTTGACAGCCTTAAACTGGCAATCCTCCTGCTTCAACGTTGTGGGTGCTGGGGTTACAGGTGGGAGCTGCCACATCCAGCTCTGGACTTCCTATTGTTGTTGTTGTTGTTTGTTTGTTTGTTTGTTTGTTTTTCAGGACCCAGAGCAAAGAGAGGCTGATGGAGCTGTAGACCTGGGAGCTGCCGGCTCCTGGGTGGGGTGGAGTCAGAGGTCTGGGGGGCCGGAATACAAACGGGTGAGTTGTAGCCATTGAGGCCAGTGTAGGAGGAGCTTCACTTTCTTTCTTGAAACACATTTTGCTAACAGCTCTCCCTAATCTTTGGTGTCAACTGTTGAGGTCCCTTCTCTCCAGTTCTTATCTCTGTGGCCCAAGTGTGACTCAGGGTTCCCGGATAAAGTCTGATGTACTCCAGTTAAGGTAAGATGTCTTTCATTTTAGGAAAATGAAGGACACCCAGATTTCTGATCCAGACAAATCTTGATCGAAGGGGATGTGTTTTAAGTTTGTACTTTTCCGGCAGAAAAGACAGTTTCTAAGTAGATGCTGAATTTCTTACCCGGGTACCCCTGGAGTCCCATTGAGCTCACCAAGGACTGTTTTTGCTAGGTAGTTTCTGACATGGCCACTGGCACTAACTTAGGAGATCAACGGGCTTCCTTCATGGCTTCAGAGGTAAAGTAGTATTTCTTAAACAAGAAGCAAAGGCACACATTTTATGGAAACTGGTGATTATGGTCCATCCGGAGATCAGAATCCCAAATTCTTACTACCACACCCAGCTGTCCTTCACCTTTGCAAGACTAATTTTATGTACAAAAGCGTTTTCTATGTCCTATCCACTCACTGCTTATAATAAACCCAATAAGAGGAGGAGCGTGGGGGCTCAGAGGGGTGAAGTGGCCCATCTCCCAAGGTCACAGATCCCACAGGACAGAGATGGGATTTGAACCCAGGACCCTTTGTGCTCACCTTCACCACTTTAAGCACCTTGACTTCTTGGTCCAGAAGCAGCTCATCCCGGAAACATTGGTCCCGAAAGAACCTCTCAACTCTCCCCCAGGCGTCCTTCCCTTTCTCTTTCCAGTCCCTCTGGGGCTGAAGGCTGTGCTGCACAAAGTGCTCCAGACTGTCCCCAGGGGTCTGGTACAGGTCAGGGGTTAGATCCATCTCTGCGCGATCACCCCGTCCCTTGGAGTGAATTCTCGGTGCTTTTGCTCGGGGAGAAGTTTTCAGCCTTTCTCCAAATAAACGCTGGGGAAGATGAGCGAGGGATAGACAGACTGAAAGAAGGTGTCTCCAGGCAACGAACGCTCTGCTTCTCAGCTCTGCAGCCAGCCAGTCTGGAAACCGAAACCAGGCTTTCCCGAGAATTGAAAGTGAATCTGCAGGGGCAACAAGTTCCCTTCCTCCAGTCTGGAAGGAGCAGTGCCCCACCCGGGCAGGCTCTTTGTGCACACTGAATGTGTCTTTTCAGCGGTCGGTCCAGTGGCAGCGATTGGCCAGATAATCGCGTCTGCCCTGGTGATCTGGCAAAGGCAAACCCTTTTGTTTGTCTTAATTACTAAAAGTGTCTGTTGCGTGTTGTTCCGCTGAGGGTCATTACTCAGCATCCACCCTCTGAGTTCCCAGCTCCCGAAGGCTGCTGTTCTGTAGCTTGCTTGTTCTGTAGTTTTAGCTGACCCTCATGCCTTTCCTGGCCCTTGCTCGAGTCTCTGCCGCGTCCTTACGTCACCAGTATTCACCCTTCAACTGTGATACATTTCTGCTTTTCCCGTGTCGTCACAGGCCCTCACTTGTTTCCTAGCCTCTGCACACTCGTGATGATTAGACGCAAGGGTCCCCATGTGTGCAAGAAGGTGTGTTTGCTTTCTGAGTCTTACGGTTCTATTTCTTTTTCCTGGCAGATTTAATTTCTTAACAGCCAAATACAACTCTAGCGTGTGTATATGTTTTACTGCTGGTGGACATCGAGGCCGATTCCATTTCCTTCTTGCTCTGAAAAGAGCAGCAAAGACCACAGATGTGCAAGCTTCTCTGACGTGAGACACCGGGCGGGTTGTTCTCTGTCAACTTCACAAACCTCGGCAGATCTGCCGACAGAGATTCTTAATTTTAAAAATGCCCCCTGGGAGTGGCCTATAGGCAAGTCTGTGCAGATACTGGATTGTCTTGGTTAATGATTAATGTGGGAGGGCCCAGCTCACTGCAGGCCATGTGCCTGGCTGGTGGGCTTGGTTGCTGTAAGAAGTAACTGGAGTTACAGGTAACTGCGCTGGTAACTAAACCCAGATCCTCTGGAAGAGCAGCTAGCACCCTGAAATGGTGCCCTGCCCAGACTCCTGCCTCAAGAGGAGCTTTTCTAAAGAGAGCCATCTGCGAGACTATGGCCACCAAACACACTAGGGGATGGAAAGGCTTTGGAACCCAGATGGTATCAGCCGGGGTTAGAACTTGCCTCCTAAGAAGTGAGTTCGCACAGTTCTGAGAACTTCCTGGCCTCCTCGGGACAGGCTGGATGTAGTGACATACTATTTACGCTTTATTAAAGCTTGCCTGAGGAGTCAGAAAGCAGAGTCAGCCACAAGCCTAGAGCAACAGGGCATAAGGACAGGTGACAGGTGCTCCTGGGGCGGTGACACAGTGTGGCCGTGGCTGTGGCGCCCAGTGAGTGGGCGGGACACTAAGCTGAAGACTGGCTTCTCTTTCCAGGGTTTCCTCTAGCAATGCTTACACTACAAGAAAGGTTTTTACTACAGACTGGCAGGAATCAATTTTCATTTAATATTCAATATGCACCAATGTAGAGGAAACGTATTTACAGTGTTAAATAGCCAACAGTAAAAACAGAGCATTTGTAACAAGGAAAAGGAGTAGACATATGTACAAAAATCCTAAATCCAAACTAGTAGAGTAACCCACTCCACCACGGGGAAGGGTAGGAGCGGCGGCAGCCTCCATCTTCACGGTCACAGTTCTGCCTCCTTGCAGATGTCATCCCAGGATCCTGAAACACAGTAACCCTGAACCTGAGGCCAGGATGTCTCTGGGATAGTGGAAGAGGCAGGCTGAATCCCACACACCGGGTTCAATGGAGGCCGTCAGTCCTGATAAGAGAGTGGCACCACGACCCTTTCCCTCTCCGCGGTCCTTCCTGAGACCCCCAAGGTTAACAAGGACAGCTGCCTGGGCCGAGTTTCTCCTTTCATGCCTGACTGCCGAGTACCGCCACCTTGTCCATCCCGTGACGTTCAGAAACCGTAGGGACTAGAACTGGAGATCAGTGGCGGGAATGAGGCTTTGGGTCCTACCTGTGTATGCTGTCACCACACCAGACAAAAGGAAACTGAGGCTGGGCTAAGAAAGAGGGTGAAGTTCAGCTTCAAGGACCACACGTGTATGCATGAGCCCAGGGCCCGGGGATGTGAGAGAGCGGGCGGGCGGGGGTGGGGTGGGGGCAAGGAAAGCCACAGAGAAAGAGTTGAGAGAAAATCAGACGCACAAGGAGGGGGCTACTTACGGATGATGGCTGGTTCTGCCTTCTCCTTGGCGTCAGAGGAACATGCTTCGGTGTGCACTAGGGCGGTGACAGAGACGGAGTGACCTGGGGCAAAGGCGGAGGGTCAGCATCCCGGTCAGCATCCCGGCCTCTGCTGGACTACCTGACTGCAGGTCCCCAGCCTCTCCTCCTGTCCCGGGTCTCTGTCCCCTACCCAGCCACCCAGGACAGGATCTGGGGATCTTTATCCAGCCAGGGCTCTACCATAACGCCAAGGGGCAGTGCCCGTGCTCTGTTCTTCCTAGGGGCTGCCATGCCACGCCTCCGTGAGTCTCGGCGCGTGTGTGGCGGTGACCTCCCTCCTTGCATGCGTGGCGGTGACCTCCCTCCTTGTGTGCTACCCTGTGCCCCCTGTCCCCTCTGCCATCGCTCCCATAGACTTCTCCAAAGACCGGGGAAAGCATCAGGAGTATATTACCGCCTCCCTAACTACTCAATTAACTGTGGCCTTTACACACAAGTGCCCTGCCAGGGGCCAGGAGTTGTGTTTGTCTTGTGCAGTAGAATGACAACCCAGCACACACGCTGGTGAACGTTCTGGGCCTGTGATGACCTGAGGAACCTAGTTGGGTGTTAGGATGTCACAACAATTCCATTGCCGACAGGATTTGGTAAACACAAGCTGACAGGTTGAACGAAAGGGCCAAATTCCCCTCGTCCCTCACCCATCGTAGAGAAAACAGATGGGTGGTGACCCAAAGAAGAGGGGACAGACGGTTTTTGCACCATGCTGAGAAGGTGAACAGCAGGCCAGAGCATCAGGGATAAGATTAGAAGACAAGGAACCACTGTCTGTAGAGTACTAGAATCGGATCGGATGGGGCCCCTTGAACCTGCGGGGCAGGGCCTCCATCCTTAGTCTGTGGTTGCCCAGACAAGGTTAGTGGTGGCTTGAGTGCCTGTGTGCGCTGACTCTTCCAATGCACACTCTGTTACTACTGCCTTCAGGAGACTCAAGGGGCCGCTGGACATAGGAGTCCCTGATGGAGATATCTTCAGGGTTCGCTCCTAGTCCCACAGTATGAGAAACAGAGTCAGAGTGGAGGTCAGGCGTGTGATTGAAGATGATCTCGGCAGCCTTCTCCAGGACTCGGAAGCGTGCAGTGGCCTCCTGGTGGCCTGGTTAGTAGCTCATCCCTCCCAGAAGTGTCCGTAGAGATAGATGTCCAGTGAGAGCAGGGAAGGAGGGTGGACTTCTCACTGACCCTGAGACCTGTGTCTCCAGAGTCCTCAAGCTGTGGGGGGCATGGACCCCAGACCAAATATCTTATGCACAGTCTCCAGCAGATGGCCCACAGCCACTGTCCACCGTGGAGGAGTGTGACGCAGAACCATGAGAGGCGGGGCTTGTGGGGACGGCCATCGTCAACTAGAAAAGCGGACAGGACGCTCCAACAGAGCACTGAAACTTGCACCGTAAAACATCTCTGCTGTCGGGTTCTGTTTTCTGCCTCTTTATACTTTATTCCCAGAGTCCCCTGCTCCTCCCGGGGACCACCCCTCCCACCCCACGCCCCCGCCACAGTTCTACCCCGGGAGGTCTCGTACCTTCAAAGTCTTCCTCATCGCTGCTCCAGTCCCACTGCCTGTGGCCCTTCCAACCTTTAGAGACATACCAGGGAGACAAACGGTGGACGGCCCTTCCCCGTTCCTTCTGTGTCTCTTTAGTGACATCGGGGCATGGCTTGGAGCTATGGGTGACATTGGGGCATGGCTTGGAGGTATGGGTGACATCGGGGTATGGTTTGGAGCTATGGGTGACATCGGGGCATGGCTTGGAGGTATGGTGTGCCCTCCAATGTTGAGTGCAGCCATGTTGAGAGGAGGTAAACCCTTTTGGAAGTAGCCTCAGGCGGGGTGAAATTAGACTATTGGAAGCTGGCAAGCTGGCTCAGCAGGTAAAAGGTGCTTGCTGCCAAGCCCGATGACCCGCGTTTGATCTTGGGAATCCACACGGTGCGAGGAGAAAACTGACTCCCACAAGTTGCCCTCTGACCTCAACGCGTGTGCTCACCCACACCCACCCACGCTCACACACTGTAAACAAACGAACATTGAAAATGGGTCATCGGGCCACCACGCCGAGGAGGAGTTACTGTGGTTTGCTCAGGCCCTGCTTAGTTCCTGTCTGGGCGGTGCACTGCCAAAAAGAGAACCGCAGACCCTGAATTCCTTGTACTTCATGCCTTACCTCTCGCAGCCCCTTTCTTTCATGTGGATTAGTGTGAAAGTGAACCAAGGTGATGCTCGCAAACGCCAGGAGACACTGTTGCTGTACCGTGGGCATCTAGACTTGTAGCTAAACTTCCCTCTGTACAGTATCAAGGTCAAGCATTTCGTGGTGGTCATGGGAAACTGACTGCTAGTTCATTATGGACCCATTCTCTGGGCTCTCAGACATTTCCTGGCTTCTGTGGACTCTGAGGCCTCCAGTATGAGCCTGTGGGGTCTTGTAACCCTTCAAGTAGGAGAGAGAAGCTGAAGGATCAGATTTCAGTTCTCCTCACCCAATGCCGCTCCTACTTCCAAACATAACAAGCCCCCCATACACTGTGTGTGTGCGTGTGTGCATGTGTGTGTATGTGTGTACCTGTGTGTGCGTGCCTGTGTGTGTGTGCACATGTGTAGTGTGTACCTGTGTGTGTGGCTCTGTGTGTGTGTGTGCACCTGTGTGTGCCTGTGTGTGCGTGCCTGTGTGTGTGTGCGTGCCTGTGTGTACCTGTGTGTGTGCCTGTGTGTGCCTCTGTGTGTGTGTGTGTGCACCTGTGTGTGCACGTGTGTACCTGTGTGTGTGTACCTGTGT